TCCGCCATCACTTCCGGTCGTCACAGGAAGTGATCAAAGAAATCGAAAATTGCCACTTTTCTTTTATGAAACTGTTTTTGCATCACACAATAGCATCTTATTTGTAGTTTCGAAATATATCAGTCCCACCGGAAGCAAAAACGACAACTTCCGGTTATAAGAGAAAAACTATATAATTTGAGTATTTTTATTTCCAATAAATATTTTTTTATAGATAAAGGATTTGTTATGATTTTTAGATATGTTATATAGACTGCTAATGTCTACAGCAAAATCAAACATCTTTGTAAAATTCACTTCCGGTCGCGTGATTTCCAGTCCTCAAAATCGGAAGTTATCATAGCTAGATCTCGAAAATAGTATTAGATTAAGACACCAAACTTATATGAGTAATAGATCTTGATTAGTAGGCAAAACCATATGGGGTAAGATTGTCTGCCGTCACTTCCGGTCGTCATAGGAAGTGAAAAAAAACTCGTAAAAATCAACTTTTCTTTTTTGAAACTTGTTTTGCATCACATTATAGCATCTTATTTGAAATTTTGAAATGCATCAGTCCCAACGGAAACAAAAATGACAACTTCCGGTTAAAAGAGAAAAACTACATAATTTGAATGTCTTTCTTTCCCTTAATTTTTTTTGATAATTAAAGTATTTGTAATGATTTTTAGATATGTTATTCAGACTGCAAATGTCTACTGTAAAGTGTAATATCTCAGTAAAATTCACTTCCGGTCGCGTGACTTCCTGTCCTCAAAATCAGAAGTTATCATAGCTAGATCTCGTAAACGGTAAGAGAATAAGACCCCAAATTAATAGGGATGGTAGACCTTGATGAGTAGACACATCCTTTGAGTTTAAGATCGTCCGCCGTCACTTCTGGTTATCACAGGAAGTGATCAAATAAATCAAAATTTTAAACTTTTCTTTATGGAATCTTTCTTAGTATTACCTTATAGCATCTTACTTGTAGTTTCGAGATATGTAATCCCACTGGAAACAAAAACAACGACTTTCAATTATGAGAGAAAAACTGTATAAATTGAGTTTCCTACTATCCGATAAATATCTTTAATTAAAAAAAGTATTTGAAATGATTTTGGGACATTTTATTCAGACTGCAAATTTCTAGAGTAACCTCAAATATCTTCTTTTAAAATTTACTTTCTTCAGGTCACATGATTTCTTGTCCTAAAAATGAGACCTTTGACCCTTACTCAAAAAGTAATAAAGAAATCTTCATTACCTTTATCTAGATTCAGCTTCAAGTGTTAATCTCAAGTTTACCTCTCTCTCTCCCCCCTTCTCTCTCTCTCTCTGATGACCTTGACCTTTGATCTTGATAAATGACCTTGACCTTTGACCCCATTGACCTAAAGGTCACAATCAAGCTAAAGTATGTGGAGGTATTAACAACTCTCATTTTAAAAAATTTTTACAAAATACCCCCCCCCCCCACTTCTCGTCCCTTAAAAAACTCAATAGCAACATAGAAAAAACTTCTACCTCTGAAAAGACACCACAGATCGACATAAAATTAAGATTTTGAGTAGAAGACACCTTAAAGAAAGTGTCCTAAGAGTTTTACGGTGAGTCTCTTGAGTATAATGAAATTCTACGGATTATCGGCAAAAACTGCATTTTTTTCTGTCTGAAATTTAAATTCTGATGGGCATAAAATGAAATAAAGCTTGTATTGGCTATTTCTTCATTTGTTGTTAATATCATTCGATTCTCCTGCTCTAATACGACATTTTAATACCATGTATTCTAGCTTTCTTTGGTATGTGGAATTTATTTCAATTTTATTTAGATTTAATATTAATTGAATGAATCTTGATTTCATTTGAAATTTGATTTTTTTTCTAGAATAACACAATCTTATAAGAAATAGCGACTTTCAGCATAGTAAAAAACAATACATGTTTCTTCCCTGTGTTTCCCATCTAGAAATACATGTTCGGAATTTTATTTATTGTGCTACGTACAATGAATTTAATCCACACACATATTCCATACCTATTTTGGTCAGGAATGTTTAAATCCGAACCCGATTCTCTGTTTTCTTTTTCTTTAATTACAAACTGCCTTGCATCTCTCGCTCATGTTTCTCACATGCTCAGAAATAATTTATCGCCATCCATTTTAAACATAAAACAACTCAAATCGAATATTTTCAAACATCTCTTTAATACATGTATAATGCACATATGATGCAGGTACACATGGGACATTTCACAACGTTTCCACTTACGCTTCCGTCTTGATGCGCAGATCAAATGCATGTTATTCATATTATTAGGTATATCGTAATTTTAATCCGACCCTACCCCTTACATCTTAACTCGAAAACGATCTCATTCAAGATCATATATACACCTAGGAGCGTGTTACAATGTTTTGAACGTGCTCTCTTTGCGTGATCAATGAATTCGTGGTTATCCCCGAGTCGACTCTAATAATCCAGGAAGTCTGTTTAGAGTATATTTATACCAACTGCGAGCCCGATCTAAAATCCTAGTAGAGAAATGAGAATTTTGCTGTTTTATTTCTTTTCTTGCTTTTCTTCTACTTTTTTCAGCCCAAATGATATCGAAATGCTTATAAAAGTTGAAAGGCCGATAATTGTTCGCTGAACAATTAGTCTACTAGTTTATTATATGTCTGTCTTTTTTAAAATAGAAAAAAAAATCCTGCATACAGATTAATAGAGGAGGACGGAAGACCTTCTTTGTTGCTGTAGCAACAAGAGTTTCTAGTTTTTCTTCTTCTTCTTCTTCTTCTTCTTCCTGGAACTTTTTTGTCCGGGAATGATCTTGTAAACTGTTCGTCCGATGTAGGTAAAACCTTTTTAGGGTTAGTAGACATGTTATGTAGATTTGCGGAATCAAGGTCATTTTGCGCGCACGTGCTTGCAAGAGCGTGCACGTGCAACACGTGAAATGACCAATATAATAGATATAGCCACAACTGTTCTATTTTTAGATGAAATGCTTTGAAACTCATAATGTGAGGATATATTAGTAGTATAGACATGACGACATGATGAAAATAGCAAGATCTCACGCGCATGCACGTGCACTTCGCTCTGATTGGCTGCAACTAAAGTCTCAATATCTTTCTTGTTTTTTGACGAAATCCTTTGAAATTTTGAACATAGTCATGCATTAGGATATCCTACAACATGAAATAAAGCAATTATCATGAAAACACGTACATGCACGTGCGCTGCAATCTGATTGGCTGAAACTTTAAACAGCTATAACTCCCTTGGTTTTCAACCAAACAGGATGGGATCTGGAACACAGATAGATATAATGGACTTCTACAAGTAGGTATGGTCACCATGCACATGCATACACGTGCGTATACATGTGCTGCAATCTGATTGGCTGAAACTTTAAACAGCTATAACTCTCTTAGTTTTCACCAAAACGGGGTGGAATTTAGAACATAGATAGATGTAATGGACTTCTACAAGAAGGTATGGTCACCATGCTCATGTATGCACGTGCGTGCACGTGAAATGAGTAAAATCAAACATACACTTGAATGAGCGTATTTTTAAAATAATTTTGGATTAAATACTTTAATATTCAGTGTATTAAAAATATAGATTGTGTAGACAAGATGATATGGTCATGACGCAAATGCATTCACATGTGCACGCGTGCAATGCTAAAGTTTAAATGATTTTTGTACACTTCTTTGTAAATGTTGTTAAAATCTCAGATGCATAGAGTTTGTCTTATCTAATGAAGCTTACAGGGAATATGGCACCAAAAGGGAGTTGGGGAGCGTTTGGGGAACATCTGTAACGGTCCCCGTTACAATTAGCACTAGTTAAGTACGCATTTCCATTGCTCTAGCTGGAAAATTTCAATGTGAAGGTGATGGAGAGTTGCTGATTCAAAAATTCACAACAAACGTCTCAAAAGGGTCTTACGTATCATATTCATTGAGGACAGTCCTTGTACCGGAAGTCCAGGGGTTGGCTACACTGCTCTAAGTTAGAGAAAATTCGACCTAATCATCTGAAAAACGGGCATTTAAAAATGACAAAGAATAATTCCTTCGCTCAGATCTCAATATTGATGAACCTATTGTATCGTAGAAATTAAGCTGCAATTGTTGTTTAGGGCAGTCTTGCACGTTTTACTTGAATGACTGGGAGGGGGGTGTTTTAACAGTCATGTGTTACTTAGTAAAGTAAAAAGATAAACATTTAACATTTTATCAAATCTCTGATATTCTGAAAAGTGAGTTTAGCCTAACTGTATTCATTTTTGAAAGTCTTAAGATAAAAAAATCAAACATTTGTAGATTACTCATTTACTGCTTGTTGCATTTCTTTTGCGTGTCAGTATAGTTCTTTTGTCCCGACTCGATGGGCGGAGTTATAGAAAAGTGTGGGTTATGTACAGAAAACCCAAACTTTTAACAAAAGAAATCACACCTAACTATGGTACAAGTACATAATATCTGCAAGGCTGCTTATTTTTATTACTGAAAATTAAAGATAAACTATATAAGACTCGCCCCAAAAGCCAAAAGTAAACTATGTATCGTCACGAACCCAAAATATCTTGCATTCAAGTGCAAAGTATTAACACGACCCTCAGATACATGTAATAATCTAATGATTCTTTAAACTTCGTTTATATTATATTGTCTTGTAATTTTTTTTTTAAATTAGCTTTATTTTGAAAAGTAGAAGACCCTAGCTAGGATATCGGTATCCGAAAGCAAATCATATTCATCTTTCTCTATTTGAAAAATGAAATGATCAAATAAGAAAATTCAATCACACATTCCATCGGTCTTCATGAAAAAAAAAATGTTTTGTATTGATGTGATGTATACTTACAAAAGAAATGACCATCCAGTATATTGATGGAAATCATTGTTGAAATAGTTTTTAAAACAGAGAGCTTATAAATACAAAGAAAATATAACATATAATAAACTAATAATGTATTTTTTCTGATATGAATTTCCAGCGGAAGGAGAAAATCGGGGACCTTTCAATGAGACAATTAACTACAACGAAAACTTTGACTGGCGATGGGAGCAGGGAAGATTTGGTTTTGGAATATTTGGTAAAGGTTTATAAGAAAAACGCAGTATGCATGATAAAAACTAAACACGTCAGATGACGCATTTTCTAATCCATTTCAAAAACTTTTGTAGCGGGTCGATTTAACCAGGAGTTTCGAGCCCGTCAATTTCGAGGAACTCCTTTTCCGATCATCTGGATTGCTGAGTACTTTGTATTTGACGGGGAGGGGGTCAGATGGGGGCGACATTACAGACAGGCAGGGTGGTACGCCCACATCCTAATGTGGTGAGGGCAAGGTTTATTTTTTTTTTTCCAAACTGCAAAACAATTAAATCGCTTTCCTGAAAGTATTTTTACATTACTTGTTTACTTTACTACTCTATTGAAATATACTATATTGCTGATTACACAAGACTCATTCAAGATCTAACTTCTAAATTTTAACAACGATTTCTCCTAGTATAATACTTATAATCAGATTTACACCACACAGGCTAGCGCTCCCTCTATGGATCATTACAGTCATCCTATTCTTTATCCTGTTGAAATATGGCGCCTATATGCTGATGCTGACGGGAGGACTTATGGTGTCAGCCAATATCACGTGGGCCACCAATCGGAACCCCTTTGAGTTGATGATTCCGTTCAGTGCTGAGCACAGACTGGAGTTCCACTACGGACCTTGTTTTTACGTTAATCTTTTTACAGGTTTGGTTAATTCTGAAATGGGCAAATCATCATAAAACATATTGATGCCAAAAAAATTATGGAATCTTCTATGCCCAATTCACGCATTTATATCTTTTCGACGTAAATAACTTTCATGAAATATATTTCTATGTTTCTACAGGAATATTGTGTATTGTTTTGGGTGCGGTGATCTGGATTCTGGATCTTCGATATCCAGTAGCTATAACAAACTTCTTTGGAGTCGATCCCTTGCAAGCTGAATCATTCATTGAAGGCAATTTTTTTTTCTCTTCATATAAAGTACTGTAGTAGATATACATATTTATACTCTTTAACTGAAATAGTAGAACACACTTATAATAAATTACAAGACAGAAACAATTTTGATTTGTTGCACGTAATCTGTTATATCTGATTGGTTCACGATACAATTTTAGGATAAAAAAACCCATTATTTTCTTTATCCAGAAACTTCGAATGAATAGGAACTTTTACGTGGCAAAACAGTTATTTGACTTAAATAAAAATTGCAGTAGTTGTCCTTTAAATGTCAGTTAAATTAAAATTTTTATTAATCACTAAAAATTTAATTCATTATAAGAGTGTTTGCTGTAACCATGTTTTGCTATCTGTTATTTGTATTTTTTGAAACTACAGGAGAAACATTCGAGCCAATCAAAGTACAGAAGCAGAATGACGACATGGAACTGAAACGTATGGAAAATGGAGAAGCACAGAATGCTTCCACCGGGGAATCATCATATGCTTCTAATCCAGACGAAGATGAAGACGACGATGATGAAATATACGAAACTGCGGTGGGTAAAAAAGGCTTAGAAAAAAAAAGAAATGCCAATGTCCAATTAAAACTATTTATGGTCATAGATACTTTCACGTGCTTGTTTCTCTGAAATGTTGTACATACTACTATATATGGTGAAGTACGGTGTGGATAGAAAATATGTTAGGTAATCTATGGAATATGATCTGATTTCGTTCTTTAAAACGATACAGGTATTCCAACCAAAGCCCCCTAAGGAATCTCATTTTGAAAAGCGAAGATCACGTGGTCTGACACAACGTCTGCAGAAACCAAGACGAAGAGCGCCCCCGCCTATTCCAGAACAACAGGTGGAAATGGATGATCTATATCAAAACAAAAGGTAAATAATAGCATTGCCATGAAAAAAAATTGGCATGTTTAAAAAATCCAACTAAATGAATGCTTATTGCAATGTCCTGATTATTTTAGAGACGACCAGACCCAGTTTGTGAAGAGTTATCGTACTTAGAACTGCCAACAAGTCAACAATAAGACAGGGTCTTACCATACAACAAGAATGGAACGACATTTTTATGAATTTTTTAAATTGATAATTGTCTTAATAAAGCTGGTACAGGAATAAATATCAAATGGCTTTAAATATATGCTCTCCTTTTAATACATCCTGTGTGAGGGAAATGAAATGCTGTTATTTTATTGAAATTATAAGCAAAGAAACTCTACATATTTTGAGGTTAATAGAGTCATTCAACGGATAATAAAACAGTGACACAAACTCTACGATTCGAAGATGATACTTTTTTCTGTGTTTTTAATTTCGTAAAAAAAGCATGTTATAATTAAAAAAATACAATATTATAAACTAACGTATTCATATATTATTATTTTATCTGTAAATATTCATACAATTGTAGCTATTACAGTGCTTTCCATGTAGCTGTACTAACATCACCTAATAATACTATGTTGACAATGTACGTAAAAGCAAAAGGCAGTGATCTTTACAAATGCGAAATAGTTCAAATTACAATTTAGCAAGGAGGAATTCAGTGATTTAAATATTAAGAACGCATGCATTTTAGGATTTTTGTTTAAATTTTTTAAAATTAGAATATTTTTTAAAATTGGGAACGTTTTGAAAAGAAACCTTCATTTTAATTTCAAGTTAATTTATTTTATCGGGAACGACGACAACTCCTGATGTCTTCTTCTGTACATGTACTTGATCATTCTTGCTAGATGCTGTGTTACTTTTTGCAAGGCTGTCAAAATTCTTTTAGGGAGAAAATTCCTTTGGAAATACTTTTTGTCTTAAGCACGTATATAATAAAGCTATACATTTTATACACAAGACTTATTTTCTGATATTTATCAGATTTTTTAAATACTCTAAAAGCAAGGAATGTTGGACTTCTATTTTTGACAGATCGAGTGAGCAGATGGTTTTTAAACTTTTCCAAATAGATAACCACTGATATAGCAACAAAGTAATAAATAGAAAAGGATGAATAATTCAGTAGTCTGTTTACTGTTTGTATTAGGGGTGTTTGGCGAACTAAAGCTGAGTAAATGGTCGATCATGTTAAAGCCTGCAGTCGCGGGTCAACTTTGTAAAGTACCCGTATCATGTAAACAAAACCTTTTGTCAGGCATACAACGTGCCATGGTTGTATACAAGTGGAGAGTGTGAGGTTACTCCGGCAAGATCAAATAACAAGTTGAGTGATACATTTTATTAATGTTAAACTGGGCGACTGGTCCACTTTTACTCTGGAATGGTTTTGTTGTTATGGAACACTAATTCCTGTTCTAGACGATTAAAATTGGATTAATAAAAGACGGATTAACAAAGAACATATATTGATCGTATAATATGTAAGCATGCAAAGCGTGTTGTTTTAAATAGCCCAAGTTTATGGTGCACATTTTATTGAGCTATTCGTTTCACTGGAGATTTTTTTATCTGCTCGATCACACGTGGTCTGTTTGAAACTGTTTCAAAAGAAAAGACGATATTTTAAGAATAAACATGGATTTTTCTAAGTTTCGCCAAAGTGGAGACCTTTCTGATCTTACAGTTACTGTTGACGAGCAAGTGTTTAAGCTCCACAAATTTCCTCTTTATGCAAAATCTGAGTACTTCTGCAAACTTGCACATAGTGCTGACGTCAAGAAAGTGGAATTGGTTGGCTTTCCTGGGGGACCAGAAATATTCAGCATAGTGGCTGACTTCTGCTACAATATGAAGATAGATCTCACCAAAAACAATATTGTGCAGGTTCGATGCGCTGCGGAATTTCTACAAATGAAAGGTGAAGGGAATTTGATTGATATGGCCGAGAAATTTTTCAACGACACCATCACGTCGACCAAAATGAGTCGTTCTACGTCATGTATTGCGTCACTTCTTTTATACGCATCCGCAGTAGGAGAATTAGCAAACGTTTCTGGCATTGTTAACGTTTGTTGCGAAGCTCTTATTGAATGCTGGCTTAAACCTCCAACAAAATTTAATTCACCAACAAATATCTTGAAGCAATCGTCAGAACGACGCGAAGATAAGACAATTCTAGCTTTACTGAGTCTTCCATTGGATTGGTTCATGAAGCTGGTCATATCAGCACGTGACCGAGGAGTTCAGTCGACTTTGCTTGCAGAACTCTCTACGTCATATACTGCAGTACTAATCGATCGCGAGGAATCCGAAGAGAAGGCAGCTCAAAATACGGAATCAGGGGAAAGCCCAGTTAAATCTCCTCGTGGGAAATCACCAAAGAAAATAGAGATTTCTAAAGCTCTAGACAATATAATTACTGTTTTACCAGAAGAATCTTTGTACAGTGACGCTATTACGATTGATTGGTTAACGAAAGTGATAAGAGTTGCAACGTCACATAATTGCAAGTGCCGAAAACTTCTAGTCAAGTCTGCCGGAGAATTACTGAGCAAACTCTCTGCAGAAGATCTCTGCATTATTTCACCATCTTTATTACGAGATATAGTCCAAGAATCGTGCAGTTCAGAAAATGGTCAGATTGAAAAGGCATGCCGTATCGTTGATACGTACATGTCTGAGATGGTCCGAAAGGGGGTTCTTACAGCAGAAACTTTCAAACTGCTAGCAACTGTGGTGCCAAGGGATGCTCGAAGCAACCATGATCAAATGTACATCATACTGGAGTATGTTTTAACGACAGGTACAACACATTTTGGTGAGATAAAAGGGGTCGTTGAGGTGAAAATTGCTGACTTTATTACAAAAAGGTGTAAAGCAGTTTTTTTTGTTTTTGTTTTTTTTGAAACTTGAAGTTGAACAGTTTTTAGGAACATTTATTCTTCGTACGAAGATTTACATACAAAATTATTTCCCAAACTGCATTGTATTCAATTTTACCAATTTTCACCTCAGAGTAGTATTGACAAACTACTTGGCAAAAGTTTGCCTTTGTCCTTTCTTATACTCTATTAGACGTCCTTTTATTAGAGAATTCGTATTTTTATGGTCTAAGTGGAGTGAATATTAACTTATTGCATTGCTCATAAAAGAACGACACTTCATTGCTAATCTTAAGCAAACGACGCCCATTTAACAAGGAAATGTTTTGAAGTGTTTACTTAGATAGCTGATATAAATTCCATTTCAGTGCATAGAAACGTGATATTACTGTTGAGGTGACAGATTGTATCGATTTGGAATCGGTTTTAAAAAAAAATCTTGGTGTAACAAACTGAAAGGGTAGATCAATGTTATCCCTTGGCTTTTTTATGTGTACTTTGATGAAAATTACAAAAAGATAGATTTGTCCATTTAAAATTTCATACACTGTAGCCTCCACTTCTAATATCTTTTCCTTTTGACAAGATGGGTTTTTGATGAATTGAGAAAAATTTACACCTTGAAACATAAAACTGGACGCAAAGAGCTTAAAGCATAATTCTTCTTGAACATTTACGACTATTTCAAAAACATATCTTTTTTTCTAAAGATAAAAACGGAAAAAGAAGAATTGTTAAACGATACCAAAGATGATAATCAGAAATACAATGCTCCCGATTTAAACAGATATAATCTAATAGATATAATCCATATATGTCCTTGCAAGTATTATTTTCTAATGGGCAAGTATTGTTATTCTCGAATATCTCACAATACATAATTCTAGAAGTTAAATCCCCAAAAAAGAGTTGGAGGGTAGTTTAAAGCCACTGAGCTTCGGTTTACCACGAACAAAAACAATTTATAAGCATAAATTTAACAACTAAATCCCACAGAGTCTATCAATGGGGTAACAGCAGGAATCTTGATAAGAAATATGGAAATGGTATAGAAGTTTTCAGCTGGATAAGTCGCGGCTGAAATCAGGATGAAAATTCCTCTCATCAAAAATGTATTTTTCAGAAAGGGAAAATTTATCCCAAGAGCAACGACAAGAGCTGATCGAGACTGTTAATTTTACCCTCCTCAACGAGGAAACACTTCAAAGTGCGCTATCATCGTCTGTGGTCCCTGCAACCTATGTGGCTAAAGGCGCCATTGCTTTATGCAACCGGCTCCGAACAGATTTAGAGACAGCACGAGCAACCTTGCAGCGCCAAGATGATGAAATCAAACGGCTAAAGACGGTCGTGAAACGTGGGAAGACACTGGGTACGCCGATTATGACCAGCTCGGCGTCCAGTCTTAGAGACACTTCCTTTGGCAGCGTCAACGGAGGTCGTGACCCCGAGCTAGGTGAGTACTGATACAATCTACATATAGTAACATTACCAGTGTAAAGCAAAATTGAGTTTTCCCTTTCTTTTTAGTGCAATTTTTTTTTTAAAGCTTTAATTCTTATTAGTAAATTTCAACAGCTAGGTTCTACGTTTTTAATATCGCCCTGCCAGCATGATATAGCTTTAAAACATTATATGGTATCAATGAAATCTTATCATTTGAACTGAACTTCTTGTGAACTTGTTTAATTAAGTCAACATGTTTTTACGATGTGTCGTCACATTCACAAGAAAAAAAAAATCAGTCATCTTGATAAAACTTCTTCCACCGAATAAACCAGCTGGAAGATCGACTGAATTTCATTAATCAGCAAATTTTAAACTGTTCGGTCTGAGGACTTTTAACAGCTTAAACAATTAAAGTCGTATTATGTAGGAATTCTATCCAATTACTGGAGCCCCGAAGCCTCGGTTTTATATTCTGAATGGAACTGTCTTTCCCACGATGAACCATAACAACGTTTATAGAATGAATAAAAAGACATTATCAAATATATCTGACACGATATGCTTGTCAATTATTGGAGTGATTTGGAAAATATTATGGCATTCATTCCCATAGCTATTTATAGGAGTCTTTATTGAACCATTTAATAAACAACAATAAGCATTTATACAGAATTTTTGACTTGTTCACATATGGATCTCATTTTGCAATCCTAGTGATAAGAATTAATTTAGAAATAAATTCTATTCTATGGGGAACATTTAACATACAATCACATGCTAATCGCATTAAATAACCATCGTAATACATATTTAATCTAAATTTTATTTTTTCCCCAGAGTTACTAGAACTGCCAACGAAGGATCAGAATGCCGACGTGAACACTGCTTACTGCACGAGCGAAGTCCTGTCGGCAGTCCGGAACAAGTTGGCAGCCTCCGCGTCCTCGCCGTATAACACCTTCCGGCCTCTGTCGCAGGAACACGACATCAGTTATGAGGAGGAGCTAGAGTATAAACACGACAGGGCCATCCGACCGCTAGAACACTCCAGGGCCAAAACCAAGCCCGTGTACGGCGCCAGTTATAGGACTTACTCCGCATATACACATCGTTATTAAAAATGTGTCATGAAATCTCATTGGTATACAGTGTTTGTTAAAAAAAGATTCTGGTAAACTTATTTTACTTTTAATGACCAAAGGACAGTGTCTCGACTTCGAATATCGATCTCTAACAGCGTGCACTACTTTGGAATAGAAAGGTGTGCGCAGCAGTACATGTATTCAAATTCACATTGGCCACTACATGTTATGTAGGCAGGTATTTTGTATGGGAGAACATCTATAGTTTATCACAAATATGCCTATATTAGAATATGATGGAATAGGCAGTGCGTGCTATTATGTGAACTGTATATAATAAAATGCTGATATTTATGTATATTGTAAATTCATACAGATTGTAAAGTTTTGTTATAAATATTTATTTTGAAGCTTGTTATATTTTGACACACAATAAAACAAAAAGAAATGTAACCCACGTGCTTATTTATCTGAAAGGACAAGCAAATATTAACTGTACATGCATCAGAAGTAATGAGACAGGTAAAATCGGGGGGGGGGGGGGGGGGGGGGGGGGGCAAACATCGGATCGGATGGCCCTGTCGTGTTTATACTCTAACATTTACTATTGAAAACATTCATTGAACGACTGTTTGGCCCCTACTTGTTGCTATATAGTCACATAATTCGGGTAATGTGATAATGCATCAATAAAATTTGGTTACGAAAGAAGTTGCCCCCTCCCCCTTATGAAGTAGGATTTTTGAGTTTGGTCAATTTTCCCCTTTTCTTTTTAGCTTGTCAAAGTTACTTCAGGTAAGTCAAATTTTTTTTTTATAACTTCATCCTCTACTTTCAAAAACGATATTACATGTCTGGTAATTGAATCAAGACAAGTTGAAATGCAAGAACTCAAAATTGAAATTCATCTATGAATAGGAATAAATGGGAAACTTTTACATGTAAAATCATATTTCAACTAAGAAAGATCTTATGTATGCAAACATTTGTCAGCTATAGATACTCAGCATTCAGAAGCATTTATTACAGGAACTGACATAAGTTAAACAAACAATTGTCATTTATTTTCTGGAGTAGACAACTGAGATTTAAACTCATTGATCGGGTTGTGAATACCTATCAATGATAAGGGTAGACATTTAATCAATAAATCAATAAATTGTGTACTCAGTTCTGTCAAGATTGATCCCTGGGTGATTTTATCTAGTTATGGTCCCATATGAGGTGGTATACTTTTACTTTAAGTTTCACTGAAATAATTTGAAATAGAAAAAGTAACACAAACTTGCAATGCAAGAAATGTTATGAAAAACTTCCACTTTTTTTTTATTTTTGGAGGGGGAGGGGTACCAGTAATTACTTCTTAATCAGCAAATGGTACATGTATAACCTTTCTTTTCAAACTGAAAATTAAAAACATAGCAGAAACGACAATTTTATTCATTTTTTTAAGAAGAGAATCTCACATAGTCTTATAAAAATATCACATCTTATCTCCATCTTTCTAACTTCATACAAATAAATTAATACATAACTGACAAACATATGATTATTTTAGGAATACTCCAGCATCATGTAATGCAGTTGATTATTGATAAAACAACACATTCTCCTGAGGAATTCTGCAGTTATGTTTACTAAAAACGTAACGTCTATGTAAGCTGAATGAAGACAAAAACACATAAATATGCTCAGAAGCATAACAGTTTGTACAACAATTGAACAAGAAACAGTAGCAGTTTAACTGCATAGGTTTTAAAAATAGAATTAAAATGAATGAATGTCAATTACAACCAACAAACTACCAATTAAAAATCTAGAATGTTGCTTCAGATGAATATATTGAATCCAATGAAATATTTCACCAATTCTAAATCAAATACTGGGCATAATAATACCATGCATCACATTTAAATCTTCCTGAAATCTAAAAAGTCAACTGCATTTAAATTTACTAATTTCATAAAATTTCATTTCTTTTTTAAAATTTATAGACATATGAAAAATCTATCTTAATCAGTTCTGATTCTGTTCAAACGAAGGACATTTTCAATGTTCTTGGCAGCTATCTTATTTACCTCTTGTTTAACTACCGAGTAAGTGCTAGATGGGTGTGATTTGATATTCCTAAAAAGCTCAAATTCAAAATTTGGTCTATGTATTTCTATATTCTCTGCCCGTTAGTCCTATAACAATAAATTTTCTTGTGTAACTTGTGTTTTGTTCTGATATTTGGAATTGTCTACCAGACAAAGTTTGGTCAAGAACTGCCTGAGGCTATCGTTCCTTCCCACATGTCCTCTCTCTGTTTTCTGTCACTTCTCCTCTTTTCTGTAATTTTAAGAGTTTTACCAGGATATAAAATAAGATAAATGATGCCTTTACACAGAGTCCAGTAAACAAAAGAATTATTCCTTTAAAAATTTAGCCATGTAATGATAATGAGAATTTTTCTGAAAACTCAATTATTTTTATATTTTCCCCTCAATTTTTAGGGGGTTAAATGTGACCTACTCTAGCAGTTTAAGTCTCAGATGGAAGCACAGTGATTGAATCTTTGCTAATGAAAAGAGTGCAGAAATTGTTTTGGTCAAGAGACACAAATTCTACGTCAAAGAAAAGAAATTTAAGATTTTTATAAACAAATAAAATGAAAATTTAAATCTTTTGAAAATAAATGTATATATGTTTTTTTTGGAAATGTGGTATCTGGATGCATCAGATTAAATCAGACCTTGCTTCACTGGCTATGGCTATTAAATCCCCCAATTATATAAAAAATAATGCAGATTGTACCCAGTGTTCTGTTTACAACATTTATCTTTTCATTCTAATTTTTTTAATAGTAAGTATAATAAATCTATGAAAATATACAATAGCTGTTATGAACTTTATTTAATTTGACTCTGTCTTTCATGTACTCTATCAGGACAATATATACTCTTAATTGAGTTGTCTCTCTTGATTTAAAAGCATTACTAAGTTAACACATTCTCACCTTTAGCCTCCTTTAATTTCTTTCTCTCTAGTTCCCGCTGTTCCTTGGAGATTTGGGGGGTGAGGCCTAGAGCCCCTGTCACCAGTCTCCGGGCTGTCATTGCAGTGGTCTCTGGCCGGGGCTTGTAGGGCTGGAGAAATTCTGTGACAGATAATATTACTTTTTATTTCATTTAAAGTCATGGGCCAACCATTTGTCATTAAAGTATTCAGAAATACAACACATCCATAAAATATTATGCACCCCCTTTCCCCCAAAGTCAAAAATTGTTTTTTAGTTCAGCACAAAAAGCCTTTATAATCTGAATAATCTACAGTATAAATCAACACTGACAAATTTATTTATGAATGATTTGTTCTACTGACCTACACATCGCTTGGCCTTTGCCTTACAAGCTTTGCTGGCTTCTGATAATGGTCCAACTTTACAGAGTGGATGAACAATCTTCAAAGCATCTTGTGCTGGAATATAGAAAACAGCATACATATTATTATTGAAGGTGTAGGAAAATTTCAAATTAAAGAGGCTCATAGGCCACACAACATACACTCAAATGACTCAATCAGATAGAAAAAAAATCATTTGAGCCTTTAACTCAGGTGAGCTAAAAGAATATTTACAGATTCACAAAAATTGGTCTGCAAAGCAAAATACAACATCTTATTTAATGTGTTTCTGACAAGCAGAGTGTAAAATCAATGAAAATACAGAACAATGAATACAAGTACTGAAATGCACATACATATATACATGTATGCCTAGCACTAATGACCAAACCTGCAATAACACTTGAAAACACTCCCAGTGCATGTGTATCATCCACCCATTTGATGTCGAAGCCTTTACTCCTAAATATCACATAATGAAAAGAATTACCATCATTCATCATCATGCAAGATAGATTTTCATATATCAAATAACAAAATTTACCATCATTTTTCAAATACAATAAGAAATAGGACTCACTTGAATTGGGAGAAAATGGACAGGAGATCCTCAGTCTTAAATTCAGCAGGAAAGTCAAAGATTTCAATGACATGATTCATTTCTGGAAAAAAGAAACCACCACAATTTTATAAAGAAATGCCCTTAAAGTGAATAATTTGGGGTTAATGTGAAAGTCAAAATCAATTTTAGTCAAAATAATGATACACTATATGAACCTTTACATACCATCGTAGTCAGGTTCCTTGGGTTTGAAATCCAGATAATTTATGGTGGCTTTTTCAATCTGCACTTTTCCCACAGTCTTTGTCAGCTGTAAAATATGTAGTGTTCATAGTAATTAATGAGAAAAATAAACATCTTATGCATGCATAATCACAAACTTATAAATCTGACAGTGAAAACACAGAACAAAAAACCTGCCAGTTTTGTATTTTCTGCTACTTTACATGAGATTTTACAGAGACAAGACTCACCTCCTCCATGGCAGAAGGATCCAGACATTCTCCATCATCATCAAACATCGTGTCCCAGTCTCCTTCGTCTTCATCGGCTTCCTTATCTGATTTATCCCCCTTTAGCACATTTTCTACAACATAATAAATCATGATCCATTACAAATGAATAAAAGACTTTTTACCAAAATGTTTTCATATATGTAGAAACTTTTATTTTGATATAAGAATAACTAATTATCAAAAGTTCATTACACAATTAACTCACCTTCTACATCCACTATGGGCTGCTCTTTAATCTCTGCCTTCTTTTCCTCTTTTTTATCCTCTTTTAATTCATGCATATTCATCATGTCAAACACAGTTATGTTTGTTCTAGTGGACTTCTTCTTCCCTTTCTTCTCTACAGAAGGTGTCTCATCTTCTACCTTAGCTTCACCTGATGTCTTACTTTTCTTCTTTGACTTCTTCAGTTTAATCTTCTTCACTTCAGTTTTACCTTCACTTTCTTGAGTCTTCACTTTTCTATGAATACTTTCCCCATCTTGATTTTCACTTTTTGCCTCAGTGGTATCTATGTTCTTTGATACTGAATTTTCATTGCTTTCTTCTACATCATCATCCCAATTCAATGGAATGTCATCTTCTCCATCATCCACTTTATCATCTTGAGTATTGGTCTCCATTATTACTGTTGCTTCCTCTTTCTTCTCTAACAACTCATTAGTCCTTTCACTTTCAGTTTCAGCCATATTTATATCTTCCACTACTTTCTCTTTTAAAATTTCTTCATCATTCAAGTTACTTTCACATTCTATCCTTTTATTCTGGTCAGAAGTGCCATCCAAATCATTATTTTCTTCTTTAACATCCATACATTCCTCTTCTCCCCTGCTTTCACTTATATCACAGTTGCTATGAGATAGTACATCTACCTGACTTGTATCCTTACTTTCATGTTGTGTCCCTTTAGAGCTATCTATACAATGCTCTACAAACATACAATTATTCACCTCTCTGTTGCCAAGGAAATCTTCTTCACTTCCTTTTTGTTCTATAGATTCATTTGTTTCAGTAGCACTAACTCCAGAAACTTCATTCTGACTGACTTCCTCGCTAAAATCACCAACATATTTCTGATTGTCTTGTTCTTCTTGATTTCTTCCCAGTGAACTGTCAACTTCATTCTTTGTCCTTCCTCTAACAGATTGATCCCCTATGTTTTCAGTAAGATTGCTAGTAGTGTAATCGCTATTAACTGGTGGGTTACTGCCATTTGAAGATAATGGAGGACTGCTGCGATTTGAACTTTGCCCTATTCTGGCTTCCTCATCCTGTTGATTCAGAAGGCGACGCCCCCTAGGGACATACCTCTGCACTTCAGGTTTCTTTTTCCTTTGTCTGAGAAATAAAATTATATTGATAAATTTAAAAGCTGAATTATGAATTGGAACTTTAAAATAATTCTGCCCAAATGAAAGTTGACTCAACTTTCAACAGTTTTACAACCCCTTGTTTTTTTTTTTAGTGCTTGTTAAAGTAAGTAAAGATATTTTCAGAACACAACTATAGTAATATATATTTTTAAAATATAGACAAGTTACCTATTTACTCCAGCTGGGGAAACATTATTACTTTCGTTTGGACTTTGGTCTCTTGTTGCTTCTTTAGCTAGTGAACTGTTATTGACCCCTTGACCTCCATGACGACCTCTGCCCCTTCCCCTGGATGACTGAGGTCTAGGGGCAGACATGAAACACAATTCCTCTTGATCTATTCTGTCAACAAAAATTAAACATTGATATTAATACTGTTCCAAGTAATTATTCCTTGCACATAAAAAAAGTTTTTTTGGTTGATTAGCAATTCTAATATAAACAACATTTGTCTATTATCATACAAAACACACATATAATAATTGTCATCTAAATGGCATGTTTTTTTCCCAAAAACTATACATTCTTCACAGAGTCAAGTGCTTTTTCTTTGAAAATTTTATACCAATATATGCCATTTTATTCTAGAATACAGACCTTTGAACTTTAGTTACAACAGTTCTTCGAGTGTCCCCTTGTCCAATGGAAAAACTATGGAGTTCTGGGAAACCTTCTATAATTTTGTGAATCAGGAACCTTTGATAACTATTGACTGCTGGAAATAACAGTACCCTATAGAAATAGGAAAGTAAAATTAACATCTGATATTCTTATTAGTCCTCTACCGATGCAATTCGACTACAATGAAATGAGGCAGACTTAGTTGAATTTTGTCAATGATTGGTAATTTTACATAACTTTTAAAAGAAATTTCACTTCAAATCAATGTTTGAGTAATTCTTTTAGAGCTGGTGTTTACTAGCATGCTCATTTCACCATACATCAGACACAAATAAACCATGCATTGGACACTTTCTGATGCATGGGTAATCACTTAATCACTTCCTTTTTCACACAGACACCAGCTAACAAGGTTATTGCTAGCTGCAGATCTGTAGCTATCCGAAGAAATATATATAAATAGACCGGATAGCTACAGTGCCACCCATTGAAAAAACTGTATATTTATTGCGCACAAAAAAGTGCGATCGGTTCTTGATTATTTCTTCCAAATTCTTACCTCAATTGCAAAAGAGGGAAGATTTAAAAAGGTTTCTTTCTCCTCTATCAAGTACATTCGTAGTTGACATCTGAACGAAGCATATTGGACCGAATTATCTTTGAAACCAAAATGGCAGTATATATAATCAAAATGTTCGATGATTACAATATCAGGGTCAGGAGGACTATTGAAAACAATGACAAATGTTTTGTTGTGGAAAGAGTTAAAGAATATGTTAGGAACACACGGTTAGTAATATTTTGAGATTACAGTTTTAGGAACATGGAGAAATAAATCGAAAACCAAGCGCACTTTTTTGTGCGCAATAAATATACAGTTTTCTCAATGGGTGGCACTGTAGCTATCCGGTCTATTAATATATATTTTTTTGGATAGCTACAGATCTGCAGCTAGGTTATTGCTAGAATTTGTTGAAGTACAAGGGTGTCCGATGCATGGTGAATTCACCCTACATACATGTATCATTACATTTGAACTATGGAGAGGACATATATTGGCAGTGCCTACTGTGTCTTATCCTTTTACTATCAGATATGATTATTCAAAATAAAATATTGTTAAAAATACCTTTTTTGAGACTTTGAGGTCCTGGAAGAATAAGACTGGATTTGTAATGTCACTTCCTGTACGAATGCTCTATCACTAGAAGTCAGGTAGCGATCTTCAAAGAATGGATCCAGAGTGAGTCAATGTTGCTGAAGATGCGAGAAATATATTTAATTACAACGGGAATGCCTAATTGAAGACCTACAGGTAATTGAAGACCTAGAGAAGACCTACGGAAGACCAACAAAAATGGGGGATATATACAGCAAAACTGATATGATATTCTGATTAAGCATGTCCTAATTATATAAAATACACAAAAAAGTTTTATAAAAAGAAGTTTTAAAGTGTATTTTTTAAGCTCGGTAAGGGGAACTATTTCTTCTCTCAGAAGACCTACAGCAAGAACAATAACTCGCGTAAATAACAAATCAGCTGTTCACCAAAACATATAAAAAAAATGTAATTATCAGAAAAATGTAATTAAAAAATTATATTTAAGGACGGAAAAAAAATCATTGGAGATACTTTATATACATACATCAAAGATAAAAAAAACAAGAGGCCCATGGGCCACATCGCTCACCTGAGAAGCTTTGACAATTCTGTCCTTTACTAGATTTCCCCCTTGTAATACAAATTGTGACCCCACCCTACCCCACTGATCATAATTTAGACAATTTGAAATCTACACTACCCCAGGATGCTTCCATATAAGTTTCAGCTTTTCTAGCCCAGTTGTTATTAAGAAGAAGATTTTCAAAGATTTTTCCTATATATTTCTATGTAAAACTTTGATTCCCCATTGTGGCCCCGCCCAATCCCCAGGTGTTATGATTTGAACAATTTAGAATCTACACTACCCCAGGATGCTTCCACATAAGTTTCAGCTTTTCTGGCACAGTGGTTCTTGAGAAGAAGATTTTCAAAGATGTTTCCTATATATTTCTATGTAAAACTTTGATTCCCCATTGTGGCCCCGCCCAACCCCCGGGGGTCATGATTTGTACAATTTAAAATCTACTCTATCCCAGGATGCTTCCACATAAGTTTTAGCTTTTCTGGCACAGTGGTTCTTGAGAAGAAGATTTTCAAAGATTTTTCCTATATATTTCTATGTAAAACTTTGATTCCCCATTGTGGCCCCGCCCAATCCCCGGGGGTCATGATTTGAACATTTAGAATCTACACTACCCCAGGATGTTTCCACATAAGTTTCAGCTTTTCTGGCCCAGTGATTCTTGAGAAGAAGATTTTCAAAGATTTTTCCTATATATTTCTATGTAAAACTTTGATTCCCCATTGTGGCCTTGCCCAATCCCCAGGTGTCATGATTTGAACAATTTAGAATCTACACTACCCCAGGATGCTTCCACATAAGTTTCAGCTTTTCTGGCACAGTGGTTCTTGAGAGGAAGATTTTCAAAGATGTTTCCTATATATTTCTATGTAAAACTTTGATTCCCCATTGTGGCCCCGCCCAACCCCCGGGGGTCATGATTTGTACAATTTAAAATCTACTCTATCCCAGGATGCTTCCACATAAGTTTCAGCTTTTCTGGCCCAGTGGTTCTTAAGAAGAAGATTTTTTAATGACCCCACCCTATTTTTGTCTTTTCTTGATTATCTCCCCTTGTGAAGGGACTTGGCCCTTCCTTTTAACAATTTAAATTCCCCTTCACCCAAGGACGCTTTGTACCAAGTTTGGTCAAAATTGGCCCAGTGGTTCTTGAGAAGAAGTCGAAAATGTGAAAAGTTTACGGACGGACAGACGGACGGACGGACGACGGACACAATGTGATCAGAAAAGCTCACTTGAGCCTTTGGCTCAGGTGAGCTAAAAAATGAAATGCAATATTCAGTCAGATACAATTCTATTTTGTTAAAAAAAAAAAAATTAGTTATCAAAATCAATAAAATTGTAAACACTGTACATAATTTATAATACCATCATATGTCAATCATAAAATCATTATAAATACATACACTTGTATATATGTTATATTTAGTATCTTATATGTGTTTATAAATAGATCATTTTAATATTTAGTTCAGGTTTGAATTGTTGATCATTAATAAAAATTCATTGTGATAGAATGATTTGTGTTCTTGTTATTAATAATACCTAGTAATGTCATTTATAACATCTGGAAATTTTTATAAGATTTGCATTTATGTAGAGAATGAAAATTTTAAAATTGCAGTTAAAAGAATTTGAAGTAATTTTTCAAGAGGAACACAGACATAATCACTTTCAAAATCTTATTTCCCCCAAGTCAAAGCATCATAATTTTTTTAAAATATGCATGCATTTCTTATGTGTGATAACATGCATGTTTATTATTTTATTCAATTTTAAAAAGTGTATATTTTCTTTTAATTTAATTATTGAATGATATACCTGCCAGGTATCTTCAAAATTGATATAATGTACATGTATATTTTGGCTCAAAATGTAAAGAAATAAAACCTTATGTTTCATGTTATAGTACCTATTTCTTGGCATACAGCATGTTATCTGGAAATATACATTTAATTAAGTTATTAAATATTCCTCGTGAATGTCATATAAATGTGTTATATTGAAAAAAGATGACCATTTTGAATATTAAAAAAAAAATTCAAAACGTAATTCATTTTAGTAAGTTATATTCTGAATAAATGCACAATAATTTTATTTGTTTATTCTTGCTAGCATTTTTAAGATATATAATAAATATTTTTTTTATGTCTTTGCTCTGTTGACTGCAAACATTCATCAGAGCAAGTGGGGTGTGTTGATAATTGCAATCAAAACACGGATATATCCTCAGGGTGTCTGTGTATACAACAAATTAGTGAAGATCGAAGCCCTTAGTACAGAGTAATATTGGTTAATTGAGACAAATCCACAGCATACATATCAATAGTTTGAACTTGAATATTTAATATTTATCCCATAAAACATATTAAAAGAATTACAATATTTATTAAATATTAACTATAGATTTCAAGTAGAATATTAATTTGATAAATGAAATAATCATGATAATTATTTATATTTTTAACTTCATCAAAATTCATCATCCAGCTTATTTCTTTATCATAATTCATAATTGAAAAACTCAACAAAATCATTTGCAATTTTTTTTTTTATTTTGTCATATACATATTCTGCCTATAAACTTCACAATATAAATGAGCGTGTTGTTGTTTACAAGACAAGTCAGCCAGAGTTATCGTTCTTGTCGTAGGTCTTCTAAGAGAAGAAATAGTTCCCCTTACCGAGCTTAAAAAATACACTTTAAAACTTCTTTTTATAAAACTTTTTTGTGTATTTTACATATTTAGGACATGCTTAAACACCCAATTTTATGTTAACGCCCCCAAAATCTACCTGATTCAAGATCAATAATTTACCGCCTGTCAATCATTAAAAAAACAATAGCTTCTGAATTGATTGACAGGCCAGCTACCCGTGCTACCTGATAGTCTGAGTTTGTGTCCTTTGAAAAAGATTGCCTGGTCACGCGTCAAACACTTTCATGTAGCCGCCTTGTGTACACGGGAGTTAAAAAAAGAAACTTGGTAAAATTTTATTTCAATAACAACTGAGAGTAGATAATTAAAACATGACTTCATAAAATATTTGCTTTCAATCTCAACGGCTATATTGTATACTTTTAGGCGATATGTCGTCCAAGATATCTGCTGTAGAATTTAGACCGGTCCGTTCACAGAAACGTTATGTGCCGATTAAAATTGGAATATGATAAATAAGAAAAGATATTTAGCACAAACGGCATGGATAAAAAATTCCTTTATACCATGTTATATCTATGTATATATGAATACAATCTACACCATGTTCCGTTGTAAAGTTCTGAAATGTCAGAAACATGAGTTTCGAGATTGTAACTTTTAATTCGAATTTCCTAACGTCTGTCAATACACAATATTCGAAATTAAAAAGTGAATATATAAAGCCAAAGATGAATTCTTAAAAGTACGTATGAATGAAGTCTTGCAAACAATGAAAAAATTTAAACAAAGGAATACCCGGAAATGGTGAATATTTTCGACACTATTGTAGGTCAGAACGTAAGCAATATTCCTATCGCGGTACATTGTATATGTTCACACGACGGGTAGGCCTTTGAATGGAATATTTCATTATTTTTTTTTAATTTTGATATTTACACAAGTTTAATTAAAAAAGGTATGTTTACTTTGTAGTTTTACTCTGTGTTCTTTTCGTTAATTTTACATTTTTTTTTTATTATAAAAACGATGTTTCTTTATAATTTTTTTCCTCTGAAAGTATAAATAAATAAGTTTTATATTGAAATATTTCAGTTATTTCAAGTAGTTTCACTCAAATTCAGACACGAAACACGGAATGTTGACCCTGATCACCACACACAGACTTCCTGTGTAATGCTACGTGTATATAGATTTTTGACATTTTGGGTATTGGGGGTCTCCAGGTAAATAACATCACTGTTACTTGGACCACTCCCCCTCCTCAGGTAACCGTACGGTAAAAAAATTGGGTCTTTAATCAGAATATCATATCATATATCATATCAGTTTTGCTGTATATATCCCCCATTTTTGTAGGTCTTCCGTAGGTCTTCTCTAGGTCTTCAATTACCTGTAGGTCTTCAATTAGGCAGTGACTCTACACTGAGTTTAAAATTTATATTTCTTACAGTATGTGTAGGCATGGAATGTCTCAATGAGTCAGGAATTTATCGAGGATTCAGTACAGATGAATAACACAATCCCATACAAATGTTACACAAATCATGAAATAGGAGAAAAGGAAATATTATTTTAATGGTTGTTGAATATTGAACATTTACCGATAAACAGTTACGTTTAGAACTAAAGCAAGGCATTTCTCGTTTGAGGATCTTAGTTTTAATCAAATTATACCATTTACAACACAATATATAGAAAAAGATTGAAGAAGTATTGATCATTATGTAATTCATTGTTCAAAATGTTATAAAATAACGTACTTTACACTAAATCTTCTTTTCTAAAGCTGAATTGAATTCACTTTCTTCGATGGACGTCGTGATTCAAAACATCCGGAAATTGTAACGTACTAAGTCTTGCAGATAGGAATTCATATTCCCGGAAAGAGACGATAAAATCAAATGGGACGTAAAAAAAAAACGAGTAATGCCTCAAAATGACGTAACGTCAGGAATTGCTTCTCCGCCCCTCATGAATGAAAAACTGTGAGTGTATTTACCGATAACCAATATATATCTATATAGTGTAATTGTAACATAATTTCTATGATATACATTAAATTATTATACCTCTACTGATTTTTTTCCTATATAAAAATAAGGCAGTAAAATGTGAATAATTTCCTAGAAATCTCATTGAATGGACTTATTCCCCGTGCGTTAGTTAAATGAGCTAATCCCTATTTCGGAAGCTAATTCCCCGGTTATCTAGATTTTACTTTTGTATCGGTCTAATATGTTAACTTAATGGACTAATTCCCCGTGCGTTAGTCTTGAAGCTAATTCCCCGCCATTCGTAATCCACTATTTGTATCGGTATAATAAAAGAGTTAAAAAGTATATCATTGAGGGAATTAGGAAGATTTCAGTTCCCCTCGATCAGGACTATTTCCCTCGGTGCGCTGCGCCTCGGGAAATAGTCCTGGTCTTGGGGAACTGGAATCTTGCTCACTCCCTCAATTATATACTTTAACTGTATACTAATACATATTTTCTAATATATAGCTTAATCATAGAGAATTTCTACTTTGTACCTTCATACGTCTCTCTTCCTCCTCCATAGTTTCAACCCATGAATATACAATCTTCAATATCTTCAGTTTTGTGTCCTGAAAATATTCATTTGAACAACAAGTTGTAAATATTTGATAAATTAATTGCATTAAAAAGATTCAGGGGCAGTTGTCAAAAAATCTTACTATATTATCACTGTGGCAGACCACGTGATACGCGATTGATTAGTTCCACGGAAAAATGGCGTATCGAAGTTCCACTTCGAGGGATATTTGAACAGTAAATAATACTTTCTTCTATGTTTTTCACCATCTAACCCTCGCCAAAGTATAATGATTTTCACAATAGATACGGTGTTAGTCCAATAATGTCGGAGTTTTGAGCGTATAGCGAGAACATTCGTGCAGAATCTCCGACTAGGCCAAAGTTGCTCGGGATTGTTTCCACGAACTTAATATCTTTTACAATTCATTAGCAATTTAATGGAATTCAATGCGTTTTACATAGTAAAAAGATAATAACTTCATCACCAGTGATGTGGAGATGCTCACCATATCTTGATATCTAGTGTATGTTACGAAAAACTACTCAAAATGTCGTTTCATGAGAAATGATCGGTAACCACGATAAAAAAATAACGATCAGTCCCACGATCAAAGTTATCTTAATATTCGACGTGACATCTATGTTTTCTCTTATAGACCTTGAAATGAGGAAGAAATCTAATTTATAACAGAACAGACCTAAAACAAAATGGCGGCCTTCTACAAAAGAAAAAAACAATTATATTTCTGCTTTAAAATCACCTCTTCTTTACTCAGGAAGAACTTTTTGCATCAATATTAAAGAGACACATGGCGTATCAAACAGCACCCCAATTCACAATTCATCATTCAGAAGTACTAGTAGTATAAAGCGTAAATTTTCAAAGTCTCCGTTTACACCAAAATTACATGTAGCTGTATCCAGATCAAAATGGCTAACCTCCCCTCTTGCAAAGCGTGGAAAAGAAATTCGGCCCGTGTTTTGTTTAGACATCAACGTCTATCAACGAAAGCAGAGATTGGATTGATGAAGATGTTTCTAGAGATCTAAACAAAATGTTTTACGTAAGGCATTGCCTATCTTGGAAATGCTATATAGTTTTCTCTTCAAAGTTTCTAATACTTCTTTCAGGCCATTTTCCTATCGTACTAAACGGTCCACAGTTTACCATTTGGTTGACGGTACTGACTGTAGATCAGAAAAGCATCCCTGTCTCCAGTAGAATGGATAGACATGAAATGCCAACAGATATCATTTTCAAGTATGTCTCTATTTTATTACAGATTCTTTCAGTGAAAGGACTCGTTGCAATGATAATTTTTTTGATATTCACACCAGTTGCTACACAAGTCAATATCCATGTTCATTCCTTGATATTTATTGATCATATTAATTTAAGAACAACGATTTCAAAAATAATTTAATACTCTATTCTTATTTATTTTTACGGGGCAAAAATCCACAATTTTTTCCCAAATAGTGACATAGTATATTTAAAATGGTTGTAGTATTTACCCTGCTTACATAATAAAAACTATCTTGGTTTAGTAAACTATAACCTTCTTTAATCAGATATCATCCTTTTGATACACAGCAACGGAAACGTGTATGTGGATGGCGTAAGACGGGAACAGTAATCACGGAGAGAAATTCGTTACAGAAGGTGGGAAAAGGCACGCTGTAATCAATCAAAAATCATCATCACGCCAACTGCAAAAATGGGGCGATTGTAATTATATGTTGCATAAGTTCATGTAAAATATGAGTCTATAATAAATTGATATAAACTTTAAGTAAATCAGTGATTTATTTTTTAAAAAAGGTTTTATATTTCACATGTACATGTATGTATAAAAACAAGAACATTTGCAAGTATTGCTGTGAGGTTAGATCTCCATTTCCTTTAATAAAGAATTTGCTGGTCAGGAGCTACCAATGATATAAAAAAAGATGCAATGGCCAAAATATATTGTAAAGTGTAACTTGGATTTGCACATTCTTTTGTGTCTATATAAGTTTGTTTGACAGCTAAACAATCTACCACAAGGACATCTATGATTTTTTTTCCTTTATGTGAGTAGTCATGTGATCCAGATGTGCTTGTTTTCTTCTTGACGACAGTCCACAAATTTCCTCGTGGTTTTTTTATGTGACGATTCAAATCTGCTCAAATAGGGAACTTTTTCCAACATCGATCACAAGTAAATTCTTTTTCTTCGTCATGCACCGAACATCTGCGAAGATGAAAAGAAAACATGTAAGGAATAGGCAGAAATAGGTCGAGAAGAGCACAATTTTTCTTCAATGAACTATTACGAAATGCCATTATGGCCACAGACAATAAGAATTTCATTTTCAGAGCATTGTACATATTTTACACTTACATGAATAGTTCTAGAGAAATATACATTTAGTTAACATTTTCATATTAATCTCTCGTTCAAGGACATTCACCTCCTCCCCCCCCCCCACCACCACCACCTGCGGTAGTTATAAAAGTTGAAGATTTAATATTCAATTTAAAATTCTAATTGAATATATAATTACCTGTGTCTTTTCAGATTAGCTCTGCTATAGAATTTCTTTCCACAACACATGTAGGGCGCCTTCCCCTCATGTCCCTTCTCGTGGTCGTAGACCGCAAACCTACTCTGGAACACTTTTCCACAGTATTTTCAAAGTCTTTTATCCATCTTGTTCTTCAAAATATAGAAAATTAAATTCTTTTTTTTTTTAATTTTAGCACCTGCAATTGCAGAATTCTTACCAGTATTTAATTCTGACCGTGGGACTGATCGTTGAATTTTGTATCGTGGTTACCGATCATTTCTCATGAAACGACATTTTGAGTAGTTTTTCGTAACATACACTAGATATCAAGATATGGTGAGCATCTCCACATCACTGGTGATGAAGTTATTATCTTTATACTATGTAAAACGCATTGAATTCCATTAAATTGCTAATGAATTGTAAAAGATATTAAGTCCGTGGAAACATCCCGAGCAACTTTGGCTGAGTCGGAGATTGTGCACGAATGTTCTCGCTATACGCTCAAAACTCTGACATTATTGGACTAACACCGTATCTATTGTGAAAATCATTATACTTTGGCGAGGGTTAGATGGTGAAAAACATAGAAGAAAGTATTACTTACTGTTCAAATTTCCCTCGAAGTGGAACTTCGATACGCCATTTTTCAGTGGAACTAATTAATCGCGTATCACGTGGTCTGCCACAGTGTAAATGAAAGAGAAAATAATGTCAAACCTGAAAAAAAATTGACAAGCAAAGGAAAAAAAAATCGGCGGTGGTGTTGGGTTTGGGGATACTAAGATGGAACTTGTTTTAGTACCATTTTTTTTTTCATACGCTACCACTAACAACTTTGACTTTACTGCAGGAATGGAACCGGTCTTTCAATCAAAAATTTGTTGCTACGTGTCAAAGCCTATTTAGACCCCCCCCCCCCCCCCCAGGTCCTGTCGTCTGTGGCATGGTCTAATGTTTTTACTCTTTCTAGTGTTATCACTCTTAAGTCTTGTGTTATCACTCTTTAGTCTAGTGTTTTCACTCTTTAGTCTTGTGTTATCACTCTTTAGTGTTATAACTCTTTAATTAGTCTTGTTTTATCAATCTTTAGTATAGTGATTTCACTTTTTAGTCTAGTGTTATCACTCTTTATTCTAGTGTTTTTACTCTTTAATCTGGTCACCCCTACTAATGTGTTCGGAACCTTTTATTTTTCGGTGTTCTGCAAATAATAAGACCCGATGAGTTCAGAGTAGCTCTGGCAGTGGCTTTGGCGAGAGTTAGCGAGACTTCAGCGAGATAGGGTAAATTATTCACGGAAATGTGGCTAGGAAGTGACTAGCACGTGGAGACATGGTAAACAGAAAAGTTATGTATGTTGCGTTTCAGTTTTTACCACCCTAGAATCAGCTAATAATGCCTGTAGAAATGTACTTCAATCAATCGATCTCTCTTACATTCATTCCAACTTAAATAAGTATTCTCTATAATACAATTTTCTGCAGTCATGAATTAAAATTTCTTTTTGGAAAAATATTTTTGCATGGGAACCGGGACTATATTTTTGGCGTCAGATTAGCAAATGAGGCACCAGCATGGTTTTCACTGACCAATCAGCTGAATGAGTATTGCATTATGGGTTACTACGAATACTACAGGAATTTTACGCTTGAAAAAAAAGGAAAATCTTATTGTAAATGAAAAGCATTTTTAAAAATATTATTTTCATGCTCATAATGACAAACAATTCATTTGTTCAATAAACGGTGGAAGTCTAGGTTT